CATATGGTGACGGATTGTGTCTAAGGGTGTGTGGTGTTGTCCTCGCTCATGGTATGGCCAACTTCTCCAAAGCTATGGCTGCCTGAGAGACACCGTTCGTGATTCAACCACTACATATTAGCAGAATACAATGAGGTGTTATCATCGTGGAGGTGGCGTTCCCTACGACGTTAAGAGTGAATTTCTACGAGCCACTCCACCAGCAGCAATATCGGACAGAAAATCACAAATGTGTGGAAGGAGGAGTTGCTACCGTATTGGAAGAATTGACATGCAGAAAGAGGAACCAAGGAACCATTCCCGAAAAACAATTATTAAGATGTGGGTTAACGCGCGTGCACATCCCGACGACTCAAGCTGTGGTTTTATATTTCTTAGAATGATTTACGCGTTCGTGCGTAACACCCACAGATTCAAGCAGCATCGTATCACCGAGGCGTACACGAAAGTTATGTGATTGAGACTTGCGTGGCTCTGTTGTGGACAACAAAGAGGGCTACACCCAGAACACCAAGAAATTCCAGGAAACAGATGAAGCAATTAGCAAGGTTATGTCAGCACAAGGTACAAGAACTCAGCAGGCAGCAGTGAACACAAGATCTTAAAGAAAAGAAGAAACTACATTCTTCATACAAGCTCTGAAAATCCGACCGTTGATCATTTGCCACCGTATCAGTGCCCTGAAGGATCACGCCGTAGTAGCGTGATCACTTGCCCCAGCAGAACTCCATATGATGAAGTGTAACAACTTCGCCCAGGGGACTCTCCCATGCTTGCAGTCATTTCTTTGATTGTCTCGGCTTCTCGTGCGAGCATCGCTTTGAGCTCATCGCGAGCGAACATCAGATCGTTTAGCACCTCCGTCATCGTGTGCACCTTGTCTTGAAGCTGTAAAGGCTCGTGGACTCTGAAGCGCTATCGCTCGAGTACCGATAATTGCTGATCCATGGCGATACTCTTCTTCGGTTCGCACTTGTATTTGTATCTTAAAAGAAACCGAAAATAAGATGTGCAATGTTGTAAAATTCTCACTGGCGATGTCACTATTGTCACACTTCGCCTCTATACACTAAATGTTATTAAGGGTGCCTTTCAGTAAAAACGGCACCACAGTACCATAAGGGTGCTGGTAGACTGTCGTATTGTTGTAACCTTGTGGTGTAGCGGGATCAGCAAAATCTGCGAGATTGCCAGATCCAGCTTACCAACTGCGCCCAAACACCGACTAACGGAGGGGGTCCCCCGATGATCCATGTTCTGCTGAACTTTCCTCACCTTGTGTACTCGTCGGTAGGGCGGGATCTTGCTCTCTCGGTAACTTCCGAAGCGTTCAAGTGGTGGAGCTTGAGTGTCTTGGCGAGACGTGGGGATGGGGTGGAGCAGCAGTGGAAAATCGTCACTCTGCGTCCGTGGATGGTTCCGAATCCTAAGCGAATATTCCAGCTTATGGATCCGGGACCTAGATCGTGGATCTGACCGTAGGGTTGCCTTGCGGGTGTGTCCCTTGCCTTTGCGTTTCCTTTACGTCGTACTTGCCGCCTCCTGTGACGGGATCTTGAGAGTTGAGACCTTCTAGGGTGTAACCGACCAAGTAGTAAATTCGGTTAACCTGTCGGATCTGCACGTGTATAGGAAAAGCTCACTAGGCTGTAGGATCTGGCCAATGTATTATCAGTTATCACTACCAACACTAGATTCGCAATTCCCAACCTTCTTCTAGCTCGTACGGCCAATGGAGTTCCGATTCTTGAGGGGAGGAAGGCACTTGCGCGTTACTATGCAAATTGAGGTCTGTATTGATACTTAAGCCTATACCTGCCTGGATTTCTAGCTTCCAGACCCGCTTTGTGTCGGGCCACATCCGGAGGGACGATTACACCGAACGAGGTGGCGGCAAGCCGCTGCGCCTCAAGGGTCGCGATCCTGTCTTGAAAGCCGGATACGGCCTCGTCGTAGCGGAGTTTCAGGTCGCTGTATCGGAGGCGACAGGCTTCAATTTCACGGGTGTTGTCCTGTCGCTCCTGCAACGCGTTCAGGCAATCAGCAAGGTCCGCACGTGTGGTGTCCAATTGGTGACTAACAATATAGTACTTGTGCTGACTGAAGAGCGCATACGGCGACGCAGCGTCGGCTGCCTTTGCAAGCTGGCGGTCTAAATTATCGGCACGCCGATGGGCGGCAAGATAATCGCGGCGCAGAGCGTCGTGATTTCGCCGTAGTTCCCGCAACTCTCCCACTTGATCGACAGTCTGCTCAAGAGCGCGCAGAGAAGCGCGTACGTGAGGGAGGTCCATCGAGGGGTCGGACAGGTCGACGGTCGACACTGCCACGGGGATATCACTGGCCACTAATGGCAACGACGCGTTGGAGGAACTGGTGGCAGCATCGAAGGAGTCACCGTCTTTATCAAAACATGGCAAGGAAGTTAGCTACAGGTGAGATATGGACGAGGAAAGCAAGCACGTACGAGAAGACATGAAAAATATATCCTAGCGGGGATGGGTGAGTAGAACGAGGCGCGTGGATGTGCGACGTTCAACAGTCGTGCTGTGAACTTTGGCAGAAGGGACGATTGTGGTGAAGCGCCCGTTGGTTAAGTTGGGAAGTAGATTGATGGGCTACGACCCGATCGGGTGATGAAAGGTCATCAGTGGCGAAGGCGAATCAGTGAGTGCATACGCAATCAACGAGATCGGATCGGTAGAGTACAGTTATTTTGATACGCGATCTACTCAATAGATTGACTGGTTTGTACCCACAGCGGGTAACTACGACATGACCTTCAAGAGCCAGTTTGGTGATCGCAGAATTCGCAAGGTAGTGGACCGCAAAGACGTTAAGTATTAACAGAGTGAAATTTGCCTCATCAGCAGCAATTGTCTTCGATATCAAACTTAGAGACTGTAGCAGGAGGTATATTGGCCCATACAGTAATCAAGTTAAGTCTACCAATTACGCGAGTCAGTCGCCAGAGTTTGCAGCTTGGCCGGTCGATCGTCTTCACTCTCACCCTCAACGCCCCCGCTATAGGAAGCGGTCAAGTTAAGCAAGGAAAGGAACAATACTCTCGTACAGGAATAACAACACCCTACGTCGATCAAGGTCGACAACCTACCTGGCGCGTAGCCTGAAGAGTATCCACGCTACGCCACCCCCAACCATCCTGCGTCCCGCCAAGAGGGGAACCAACCCAAGCCAAGCTTCCCTTCAAGTCCACCAGAGGGGTGTAACCAGCCCCACTGACGGGTACACAAGGTGAGCCCTCAGCAACCCCTCGGTTATCAGAGTACCCCATCCGTCCGTCGGTATTCGGGGCACCGTGTGTGAGATTGGATAGCAAGTTTTGCGAGAACTACTCCACCACAGAACCACTGACACGACAAATTGACATTCCAACTTGTGTGAAAACATTCAAGGTGGAGAAGCAAGACAAGACCGTGAGGTTCAAGTCGCAATGACGCGTTAAAGAAGCTATGTACGTGAAGATATTTCGTGCTGGTGGCTGGAAAGCATGGTTGGCGTTTCAAATGGAAATGCGACAACTATACATCTTCATGGGCTTAGGTGGGTTGCACCAGTCTGTGCGCGACTTGCGCTTATCTCTCAGCTACTAATTGGTTGAGACCTCGACCATTTCCAGAAACGATATGAAAAAGCGCGGGGAAGACATGGAGAACACATGCGCGCGATCAGATCGAGCATCGGTAGGCGCTACTGCCCGCTAGGCACTCGCGAGGCACTGCACCAGGAGATCCGAGGTCTCCGGAAGACACGCAACCTCTCAGTGGAAGAATACGACGCGGAGTTTCTCTACCTGTTGGATCCGGAAGAATGGATTCTGCCCGACGATGGGGGTGCGATGACGACGACGGACCAATTTCGTCACGATAGCGCGGGAATGCCGCAAACCTGGCGGATGCAAGTGATACCGCAACACTCGCGGTGGGATAATTTGGAGAAGTTGAAAACGCGCTACCTTTAATACGAGCATGTCGAGTTGGCGGTATCGGCTAACCAAGAGAGCAAGAACAGGCGGAACCTGGGGAAGAAGAATGCTTGGAAGGTCAAATCGGAACAGAAGCAATCAGGACCAAAAGGTAAGGAAGGTAAGAAACGGAAGCTAGGCGCCGGTGTAGGATGCAAGTTCTGCAGGTTACGCGGAAATGTGTGGAATAACCACGCGGCCGACGAGTGTTTCTGGAACCCGTCCTCTCCGAAATTCCGACCACGCGCAGTGAAGAGCCCACAACAGGGAAAAAGACAGTTTAAGGAAGCCGGTTGGCACAATGGAGCAGCGACCGCGGCCGTCTCAACGGGAAGAGACGGACAAACGGAGGACCCGCCGGACTATTGGACAAAGACATAGGGGCGCGGCGTAGCTGCGGCAACAGCCGAGCGACCGAGCGGGGTCCCTTTTCTTCGAACAAAGGTAACCCTGAAACATCCATTGAGCAAGCAGACATATACAGTACTACTTAACACAGGATCGACGACCTCAGTGGTAGCAAAAGAAATCGTCTTGTGGTACACCCCGCAAGGCCGCGGGATGACGTACCGCAACGTGAATGGAGAAGTACAGGAAACAGTGGGCTCGATTTGCATCCCTTTCGTGCTCCCTGAGTTTTCTGACAAACGCGAATGTACACAAGATTGCAAAATCGTTGACAAGCTGCTATACCCGATGATTTTGGGAAACGCCTTCTTAGGGATGGTGAACGACTATCAAGAGAAAGAGATCCGATAGAACGGACTTAGACTGGCCATGAACACGAAACCCAAACCCAAGGCAAGTCGATTAATTTAATAGCGATGGTTTTAAAGAATCGATGATGGCACTATCCCCCAGCCAGGCAGCGTTTGGTCGAGATCTGCTGTTCGACTGTCGAATCTAGGTCGATTGGCAAGATCAGCAGGAGTGGAGGCAGACCCAAACGAGCCGCGCAGCTACCCGAGAAAAACAAACACGCCAGGAACACGAGCATCTACCAGAGGAACTCGTGATGGTGACCCGCGGCGATCAGCGAGCACCGAAGCTGCAGCCTCTGTTTGAAGGCCCCTTTCGCGTGCTCAGTGCATGCGGTAATGGTGTCCTGGAGATTAATCTGCCGCCGGCTGATATGATGCCCCCAGATGATGGGCATCAGGTGGCGAACAGGCGTGATCATCACCAACCACCAACTTTGCGTGTATGCAGTGCTTGGTGGATCCCCAGTGGCGATGGACCAGCGGGTGAGATACATAGCCTAAGATCCTAGGCTGGAAGCGGAGAACGAAGCTAAAGCCTAAAATTTTCCGTGTGGCTTGATGATCCCCCCAGTGGCGATGGACCAGCTGGTGCGATATCAAGTCTGGGATCGTATATTTGGACGCACAAGATGTAGCCGCAGTCCATAATGCTCCGAGGACAGGCTGTGCAAGCCCTCACCAAGGACGCAAACAGACAAGGACGCAGCAGGAGTAGTGCCAGGAATCAATCTCTTTATATTCAATCACTTTGCAATTTACTTTGTCCCTCATACTTGGTCGTGAACGCCAAGGACACAGATCAAAGCTAGCTTTAGTACTGTGAACTAAGTGACAAGAGACTCCGCGGTGCAAGCGACCCGCTGAGCAAGCTACGCGCCGACCGTGCACGTCGACCCTTCGTGACTGTGCAAGTATTCTAGTGCCTGAGCCGCAAGGGCTGGGTTCGCCATTCCTGATCAAGACGCCCCGCCATCTGGGCCTGCTGAGCAAGTGGAGACTACGGTGGCGGTACCCGGTACCGAAGAAACCGGGACTCCAACTCCAGCAGCCGCTGAGCAAGCTGCTGCTGGAGGAGGACCTATGCGTCGCCCTAGCTCTCACGTTGTGAGCAACGCTGGAGGCCCCTTTGCGCTGCCTCGTCGAGAATATGGCGACGACGAAGAGGTTGACATGTAGGACGTAAGCGGCCGCGTGGACGGTGCAGAACATGAGGCTCAAGTGAGACTACCGCTGAGCAAGCGCGTCCAGACAATGCCCACGCTCCCAGCCCCTCCGAGTTTTCGTGGATCGACGGCTCAAGAAAAACAAGGCTTCATGAAGAAGTACGAAGCCTATTGCCGGCAGCTGTCTGCCCTCGAAACGGCGTTCTTTCGTCCTTGTTGAAGGAATGATTTGCGCAGAGTTGTTAGGGCAGTACAGAACTGAATGAGGACAAAGGTAGAGAGGAGTAGGCGGCCATAGTGAAGAGGAAGTCTTGAGTGTAGAAGGAGAAGACGCTTGTGGTGGACTTGGTAAAAGAAGAAGAGCATGTGGTGGACTCGGTAAAAGAAGAAGTAAGATTAATGTTTAAGAAAGTAGCGGGCTACTAACAAGAAATTAGTATGCGGCATTCAGAAACATAGTCTAGAATTGCCGCTACCATTCATAGTACTAAAATGTTCCAGACATTTTAGTACATTATTTATTAGAGTCAAAAATACCGTGTCTCTTCATTATTAGTTTATAGAGAGCACGATGGAGAGACGGTCCCTGTGACGGGCCCTAACCTCAACAGCCTCCCTGGATCGACATCAGGGAACGTCATTGGATAATATAATACACGTGTTTTGATTGGTCTACGAAAACCCTGTTAAAAATGTTCAGTCAATTTACAAAATGGCTACACGAATTCGTGTTTAATGCGTTTCTGAAGCTCCTAGAGGCCCTACAGCCAAACGGAGACCGGATTTGGACTCTACTCGCCAGGGCAGTTTTCTGGGGAGGTGGAGTCCAAATCGCCATTTGGCCACTTGTGCACCAGGTGGCATACTGAAAAATGACTCGAAAGTTCAAAACGAATTAGTTTTGACAGTGATAGGTTTTGAGAGTACACTTGTATTGAAGTTAATAGCAGTTACAACAAGTGGCCATCTTATCGGTCGTGTATGTTAACTTAGAGAAGCTCAATGCCATCAGAATCGGCCCACATGACGGACAGCCTTGAATTTAGTAGAGACGACAAACGCAGATGATGCTGAGACGGCATAAGGTCTTATTCTATGGTCCGGCGCGCGGTATAGGGATCAATCAGCAGCTCGGGGGCTCATCGAGCTGATCTCGTAGTCTCACATCACAATTTACACTCTACTGTCACCGCACCAGCCACACGCACGTCAAGGACACGCACGTCAAGGCCACGACACCAACAAATTTCGGTGCTTCAACAGCCAGCTTTGGGTATTGCAACGCTTCATTCTCGCTCAGTCGGCGTCATTCAGGATACTTGTGGAGACCAGGCAGATTGGCTCGAGGCTCAGTTATTTAACGCCAGCTTTGAGGATCATGTCTCGGTCGGCGCAGGTGGCCCGGATGGACCCTACTATCGCCGTGCATCTCATTACAATGGCTGCCCCAAAGCAGTTACCTTCGATTACAATTTCTCTATATGAAATAGTACAGTTATATTTCACTAGATAGTCATCATCACATCGGAGATGCTTACTTCGACAGCCTCCCACATCGAGGAATGTGTATGATGCTCTATCTGTCGGATAGTTACCACAGGTGGCTGTTATAACAGTCCTGTACGTACATGAGCATTTACAAGAAGTAGATCTTGTTTTGATATTGATGATCTTTTTCCTTTGACTTTCATTGTCAGATTTGTCGCCTTGTGCTGTTTTGCTTTGGCAATAACTGTGCTGATTTCTTGTTTTCATTGTTATTTTGGCTACTCAGGAAAACCTTAGAGGATTAAACCTGTTCACCGTAGTGATTGTTGTTGCTATCGTTTTAGTTATACGAATTTGTAGCAGCTACTTCAGGGAAACCTTTAATTTTAAGGATCAAAACCTGTTCGCTGAATTGTTGCTGTTATCGTTTTAGCTTTACGAATTTGTAGAAGCTACCTCAGGAAAACCTTTAATTTTAAGGATCAAAACCTGTTCGCTCTGTTGTTGGCTACTCAGGAAACCTTCGAGGGTACACCTGATCACCGTATTTATCTTTATATATTTTGTGTATGCGTTTTAGCTTTGTTCATTTCTTAAACTGCCATTGTTTTGCTCTTTCATATGTGTGGTTTGTTTTTTGTTTTTCCGCTGCTGAGGTCTTATAGAATTGCCTCCCAATTTCATGAAATGGTTGATATAGGTGCTGCAGTCATTTTCAATTTGTTCTGACTATTATTATTGAGAGCTTATAGTTTTCAAATATTTTTGAAGAAAGGCTACAGCTTTCAAAGCATAAAAACATCTAACAGTGTCATCGGTAGTGTACGCATCTTGTTTGCAGGCTCTCATCGTTGGGGCTATTTTTCTCCCTAGAGGCTCATGGAGTTGTTTCTCATTTCGAAGATTTTTATTTTGTTTATACTTCGCAAGTGCAAGCAATAGGTTTGTAAACTATCGATTCCATTGAAAATGAAACTAATGCAGTAAAACTATAGTTGCTTTCTGTAGACAGAGGCTTGTGTAGGCTTGTCTTAAAGTCATAAAGTATTGAAGATTTTTTCTTTATGCTGGAAATGTTTGAAACTTTTGCCGCAATAATTTTTTTTTTAAGTTTGGCGAATTGAATGAATTGTTTTGGCGTTGTTGCCTCCCAGTTTCATACATTTCTGGGCGTATTTCTTAACTTGGTTAAATACCAGACACATGTTTGTATGGACAATTGCCCATTTTTATTTTATCTCTTTCTTGTTTTTTTTAAGGTATATTTTTATTTTACAGGTCCAAAATGTAGTGGATTACCTGTTCTCAACAAGCCGTAGATCTGCATTTAGTAGACTGCTGCAGCTTTGCATTAAGCGAGGTTTTAGCTGTGCCATTCCTCCTTGTAGCTCGAGATGCACATATTTAAAATGGTATTTCATTAAGTACACATATACTAGTAGTAAATACACAGCTTGTAGCTGGAATAATTTTTGCACAGCTTTATAGCTCGCAAGTGGGGCATTTGGCCTCCCAGTATGGCGTGACACTACAGCAATGCTGCTGGTGCGTGAGGGCGGTATTTAGTTCTTCGCCTTAAATATGTACTACATGTACTTGTACATCATCAAATGCATGTACGTGTATGTGTACGTGTACGTGTACGTGTATGTGTACGTGTACGCGTACATGTACGTAGAGCACAAGGCACTGTGGCCTTCTAGTACGGCTTTTCAACCAGACAGCGCTATGGCTGGTCTGGCATCATGGCCTCACAACTCGGCAATGGCCGGTGTGGCACGGAATGTATGTGTCTCGTGCGGCGCTACAGCTCCATGGCTGGCGCGGGGGTTTCATGACCTCCCAGCATGGCGAATAACTACGCATGCTGTGCTACAGCACAGTGGCTGGAGCCAAGTTGGCAACGTGGCCTCACGCGAGTTGGTGTCCGTCGGCGATTTTCTCTCCGATCTCCTTCATGAGCCTTGGGGCTTGGAAACGCATCGTCTTACCGCTTTCAGCTCGTCAGTACCCTGGCGAAGCGTTGGGCTGATAACCTGTTGAAGGAATGATTTGCGCAGAGTTGTTAGGGCAGTACAGAACTGAATGAGGACAAAGGTAGAGAGGAGTAGGCGGCCATAGTGAAGAGGAAGTCTTGAGTGTAGAAGGAGAAGACGCTTGTGGTGGACTTGGTAAAAGAAGAAGAGCATGTGGTGGACTCGGTAAAAGAAGAAGTAAGATTAATGTTTAAGAAAGTAGCGGGCTACTAACAAGAAATTAGTATGCGGCATTCAGAAACATAGTCTAGAATTGCCGCTACCATTCATAGTACTAAAATGTTCCAGACATTTTAGTACATTATTTATTAGAGTCAAAAATACCGTGTCTCTTCATTATTAGTTTATAGAGAGCACGATGGAGAGACGGTCCCTGTGACGGGCCCTAACCTCAACAAATAGTGACGCTAAAACATTTTGTAGTTCAGTTGTCGGAGGTCCCTGTAAGCTAACGTTACAGGTAGCAAAGAGGATGCGCAATAAATAATGACGTTGGTAGCAGTAACGCTACAGTGGGTGCCTTCCATAAATAGCATAAGCACGTGTCATATTTGCAGCAGATAAGCCTGTCATACTTTACATGTATACTGAGCTTAAGTATCAAAACGTCCACCACAAATACCATAAATTTTATGGTCAACGTCAAACAAAATGATACTTACGAACCATTTAGAGTTATCGAGATAATCGAGCCAATTGATTTTCGCACTTAACCGAAACAGAGACATTTATTGTAAACTTCCATTGGAAAAACTGTAAAACTACCCTTATTCTTTAACAAGAGCTTTTAAATAACACTTAAATCTCTAAAATTGAAAAAATATTGAGCTCACAACACTCCTAAATGTATCGTCATTTCGATGCCCTGAAAGCTCCCATCTGCATTCACCTGACTGGCAGAGCTTTCAGCCACAACACCGAACCCCACAGACTCTAAGGAATTGCCACCAACAGCAAATGAGCCGTCATCAGGCTCGACGTCGAAAGCGAAATCCTCTCTGAAGTCTTCTTCCTCGTTGTCGGCCCCGTCATCCATTACAACGACACTGGCCTTGTCGTCGATGGCGTTCTTTAGCTCTTTAGCGAGCTTGATGTGCGGCGGCATTTCAGAAGTCCCAGTCGGCATCCTTGTGCTGTAGAGCTCCTTGAATTTTCGCCGTAGGCTGTCAAACTCCCGCTCCGGCCACCCACGCATCCTACTTCCATTGTAGAAGCCCGCCAGCCTCTCCCATTCGTCCTTACCAAGAAGAAGGATGTCTTCAATGAGATTTAGCAAGCGGGAGATCTCTGTCATCTTGTAGTTTGCGCTACCCGACACCTTCGCCATCGTTGGAACCACCGTTAGTGGCGTGGGGACTCACGACGTGGACTTGCTCGGCTTTTGCAAGAAGCAGAATGAGAAACTTCGAGTACCGGCTTCAGTCGCTATTGCTGCGCCTAGTTAGTGTCCAACTTGTGATTTGAAGGCGATATGCCATCTTCAACCACGTTGCTCTCCAAAACCAACCGAATACCGCGGAAGAAGGTCGTACCGAGAGTGACCTTGCAGAAACTAGGAATAGAGAACATCAACGTGAGCAACAAATCTTGATTGAGTGCCGTCTTCCGGGAGTCTCGTACCTACGGAAGGTCCAATTACGACTCTACATCTCCCCTGTGAGTCCGTGACCCGCTCTCCGTGGCGGCCTGCTACCTCGCCTCGTCGAGCCTTGGCTCAAGGATCTTGCTTGTCTTGTATGTCTCTGTGGACACATCCATCGAGGCCACAGCGACAGACGAACCACAGGTCGTCCCCATAACCAACGGTGACCTCCTCTCCGCGAAGGACGCGCGCTGTCGTCGCAACCACGACCGTCGTTCGTCGCCCATTGCTGACCTCCAAGAACTCTGCAACCGGCCGGCACGAGTGGTTCGCGAACCGCATCAATCCCCCCATGGTCTCTGCATTTATTGCGACTTGAACGCGGTGGGCCGGAGATTCGGGGCGTTGCTTCATCACCAATCGATATCCGTTGTTCCGCGGGCGCCGAGCTCGCGAGACACTGAGGTGCTCAAGCTCGCCGAGATACTGCTTGATCACCTCCCCGACGCCGATGTCCTCCGCCGCAACCACCGCCAGCGATGATGTACGCACGTTGCGCCCCAGAAATACCTTCGGAGACTCTGCCAAGCCGTTACCGCACTTTCCTTCAAATGGGCAGGTGTTGACGCTACAGAATACATCCATGAGCGAGTTGCGACAGACTCCGACCCGGCACGGCGATGAGCATGTACACCAGCCGAAGTGCGGCACGTACGGGAACCGAATGTACGAAAGGTTATAGGATTCGCAGAGGTGTATAAAACGATTTGGCTACCGCGCAGGCACGAAGAGCTGGAGTGTAGGCGCCGTCGACCTCCTTGGCAGAGGACGGGGGGTCTCTGGCGAAGATACCAACGACCCGTTCTCGTTGAGCACAAGCAGTTCGCGGTTAAGCGGAGCATATGGGCCAGATGCACTTCGGCGGGCTTCACGACGCCCATGGCGAGCCGCAGAAGTCTTCGAACGTGCTGCAAGTCGCACAGGAGAACGTGGAGGAGTCTCCAAAAGAAACGGGGAGGATGTCGTAGGACTGGCAGGTAAACGACGACTAACCGGACTGCGAGTTGCAGCACTCAGATCTTGCGATGATGGCAAGCTCGACTTGTCCTTCGGCACGCGATTCGTGAGCCCGGGCGATAACCATGGAGGCGTAGCAGTCCCTGACGACGCCAGATCGGACTCAGTGCTCTGGCTATCGGGTACTTCCTTGGTCTTCGGCGATGCCCTGCCCTGCATGACGTTTGGAGGAGTATTCTCGTCGTCGCTGTCAAGCACGCAGCGAACCTTCCAGTGCAGTCCGGGGTGTCTTAGATGCACCATGTCTCCTGTAGACACATACATGAGCGTTAACTAGCAACACATAAACTTCACTGCTTGTCACCCACCTCTTCTCGCCTCTGGCAGAAATCGAAAGTGATGGCCAACTTGAAGTTGCGGAGCTTTATGCCAGAGTTTAAGTTGCTGGCTTCTATCAGAGTGATGGTCGACATAAAGTTTACAAATTTCTATATTAAATTTTAAGATGGCTACACGACATAAATCTAGGGGTAGGTGCGTCTCGTGAGACCAAATATACGTCTCACGAGAATTTATGTCATCTTAAACTTTGACATATCTGCTGCAAATATGACACGTGCTTATGCTATTTATGGAAGGCACCCAGTGTCTGTGGTTTAAGCCCATAAAA